TAATATTCCTTTCCATTTTTCTCATATGCGCTGAATAACAAGAAACAACAATGATTAGATGTCGTTTCCATCTTCGTAAACTGTCCATTATGCCTTTGAAACCATATCAACACAACAATTCTCCAAAAGTTTGTTGATCATCCAAGAGAAGCAACCTCTTAGCAACATATATCGACAATGCTTCATAACAGCACATTGAAGTCTTGACAAACAGACTGAAACTTATGAATTTGCAAGGGTGATAAACTTCATGTTTGATGCTCTTGCAAAACCATAAATGCACACAACATTTCTCTAATTGGTTGTGCATCATCCAACAGAAGCAATCTCACAAAATCAGAGATCACATAACAACCAACTGAAACCTTGACATAGAAACTTAATCTCTCTAGTGTTTACTAATCACATCAATCTATCATGATTATCGAGCCAGAATCAGGTTACCCGTGGTGCATACTCATGAAGGCTGCTTCATATCATGATTATCGAGCCAGAATCCTAACCATTTTCCATCAATCTCAAACTCTAGATTCTGTGAACCAAAGATAACTAAACCAAGTCTAATTACCAACTAAACCAATAATCTCTTTACTCTAATAGTATTATGAAAATTATTGATTGATAGTCGAAATAAAAGAGAAAATGCTAATCTTTTATACAATGTTGTTATCGATTATATAGACTGATATGCATCTGTCAAAATGGTTTTATATTTAGCGACATTCAAATGTAAAAGAAAAGCCCTATTATATAAAACAAAAATGAAATGAAAGGAAAAAGTTAAGTTTTATTCATATATTCAGCAATATATTTCTTTTCAAGATTAGTGTAAAACTTTAGACTAATATTGTGGACTTAACTCTTTGTGAGTTAAAAATGAGAATGTGAATGAATTTTTATTATATTCCTTTCTGTGAAACTAGTTGTCAAATAACATACATGTGAACATGGGAGATCGTTTTCCGAAAGAGAAGGGTGAACGAAAATATTAAGAATATTTGTTTTTTATTAGGAGCTGAGGGACATTGGATCCAATCTTCTGTTTCAATAATTAAGAATATTTGTTTTTTTTGAACAAAAAATTGTTAAGAAACAAAATAAAACATTTTAAAAGAAAATTGAAAAGGGTCTAATTTTGTTTGTGATTCATATATGAGTGCCCTGTAAAAAAATTTAAGGCTCAATAATTTTGAACCGGACTTACTTTGAACCCGGAGGTCATAAGTTCAAATTGAGTTTGGGAAAGAACCATAATGTCTATATGAAATAGGAGATCAATGTTAG